CCATCACACCGCTGCTGGGACCCCGGGAGACCTCGCCGCCTCTGCGCACCCTCGCGGCAGCCTGCAGGCGACGGGGGCGGGGACGGTGCCAGTCGCCCGGCATTTGTCCGCACACCTGCGCCTCCACTCCTGGCTCCTCCGCGACGCTGTCCGTCCCTACCCGACTCTGGTGGTGCCACTGGTGTCACCAGCCACCGCTCTATCCAGGAGTTGCCGTTGCGGCGGAGAGAGCTGTGCGGGTCCTGGGTGCGCAAGGCCAGTGAGTTGTGTGGGAAGGGGCGACTGTGGGCAGGAGGAGGGAGAGAGAAGGAGGTGGGTATCACCTGGGGTGGCCAAAGGGAAACCGCAAACGGCGCTCGCTCGCCCCGTTCCCCCGCTAGCCCGGGTCGGAAGTCCGAACGCCCCCCGAAACCCGGCGCCGTGGCGCACGCGCGGCTTCTCTGGCTGCCAACTTCGGTGAGTGCGAGTCGGCGTCGGGGAGACGCGGTCGGTGGCAGAGGCTTTGGGGATTCGCAGCCAAGTGAGTGACTGCAGACCGCATGGGGGTTCGCTCCCAGCACCCAGACTCAGTTTCCACTGTGGAAGTCCTTGTCGCTGCTCCGAGAGCCTGAGCCGGTTTCGCTTAGTCCGGAGCTGCGGCCGGCGCCGGGCGGGAAGAGCGCTGAGTGGGGCGGAGGAGGGAAGTTTCTGCTTGGTTCCCGGGGCTACGCGCAGACTTCGCCGGGCGCCGCAGGCTCTGTTCCGGCTGGGGCGCAGGTAGGGCTGGCGCAGGCGTCGGCGTGTCGGGGGAACTTCGGGGGCAGCGCAGGGTCCGGCTGGACGTTTGGGGTGCGAGGCAGCGGGACGCCGGGAGTGTCTGGCGCGTTCTAAGCAGCCCCAGCTCCTACGTCCCCGACTTCCCAGAGTCCAGGCTCCACGCACCGGGACCATCTGGGCGCAGCAGCCTCCCTCCTGTAGGAGCGCGCCTTCCTGGGTGCCGCTGGGGAGGGCAAGAGGAGGGAATTGGGGTCTCCTCCTCAGCCAGAGAGGAACCTGGTCACCCCTCTGCACCACGCCCTGTGGGGTACTTGCTCCCTAAGTTCCAAGGGGGCCAGTGGGATGGGTGAGCTGTAATCCCCTGGTGGCGGCTCCAAGCACTAGGTGTCCCCTCTCCCACCCTGGGTTGGGGCCTCCAGCTCCTGGCCTGCCACCAGTTCTCCCACACACAAGGAAAGGTTAGTGGGGCCGGTGCCTCCTGGCTGGCACAATGGGGGTGCAGGCCACTGTGGAAGCATGCACCCAGTCACGGGCTGGGACACGTATGCGAATGAATGTGCTTTTGAGTGTGCGTGGGTGCGTGCTGGTGTCTAGGGGTGTCTTCTGCTTGTGCACAAGCATGCTGGGTGGGTGCCAGGCATCCTCTGGGGCCCTGTGGGGTTAGCAGCTGCTGAGATGGCTCCTGAACAAGCCAGCAACCCAGGTGACTGATCTGAAGAGGGAGCATAGGAGGACACTCCCCCTTCCTCCTGAGTCCTGGAGCTTAAGAGGAGACACCCCCAATCCAGGGGCCAGGCTGGGAGGTGGGGTGGGTGGTAGTACCAGGCAGCACAGCTGTGTGGCTCCCAGGGCTGGGTGATCGATGGCCCCAGCACAGCCGCCTCTGTCTCCTGAGCACACATGCCCATTTGTCATTTGTATCTTAGTGGGGGGCTGGGATGGGGCCTGCCTCTGCACCCACCACCAAGTCCAGGGGGTGTCTGCAGCCCCTCAGGGAACCTCGGGCCCTTTCCTGGGCCCAGGCCCCTCTTCCCAACCCCTGCACCCATCTCAAGGCCCCATCCCCTCCTAAATGTGGACATCCACAAACCAGTCAGCTAGCCTCTGCTTGCCCCACCTTCCACGCCCAGACCTTTACCATGCTGACCCCCCACACTAGTGCTTCTTTGAATGGGCAGCCCTCTCCACCCCTCTGGCTGTCCCCAAAATAAACACTGCCCAACCAGTGTTTGGGGCAGCAGACATGACTGCCTGCCATGTGTACAGCCCAAAGGCCAGCAGGGAGGACACCTTGCTCTCAGTGGCTGCTCAGCTGCTCCAGTCCCCCTGCTTAACCCACTAGCCACCCCTGAGCCCCAGGGAGCAGGGCTAGTGTTTCTGTCCACATTCATGACAGTGTCCGTGACAATGTGTGTTCTTGGGTGTGTAGTGTGTGTATGTATGTGTATGTGCACACTGCACTTGAATGTGTCTGAGTACCTGCTCATACCCCACCTGTGCTGTGAGAGCATCCATATGCATAGTGACCGTGTCTACTCTGAGAGTGCATGTGCCTAGGGCCCCAGGTATTTTGGTGGTCCACTCTGTTCTGAGTCAGCCCAGCCGTGCAGAGGTTGTCGCTCCAGGGACCAAGTGAGAGCTTGTCTGGAGCCTCACACATGTGTGTGCACACACTCTTTGCGTCCCACACAGGCACGCACTGGGGTGGTGGACAGCCCAGGTGGCGGCCCAGATGGAGTGGGGAGCAGCTTCTGAGTGAACACGCAGGGCATGGGGAGAGGAGGGTCTTGGCCAAGCTCAGCCACTGCAGGCTCAGCTGTTGACCTGCCTGAAGCCACCCAGATGGAGCCAGGCTGAGCAGGTGGCTGTGCCATGGGGCCATGCTGTGACGTCCACGCCCCCCAGCCTGGTCTGGCCCCACGTGAGGCTGACCCCCTCGGAGACCTCCAGTACCCAGCTGACACCCTGCTGGAGAAGAAATACACACGAATGCGTGCGCGCGCGCGCACACACACACACACACACACACACGCACACACACACACACGCGCACACACACACACACACACACACACACACACACACACCGCAAC